TGAGACAATGAACACCGGCCTCTGTTTCCATTCATCTTATTTTCAATAGGTTTTTTTTTTTTTGGCCTTTTGGGTCACATCCGGTGATGTGCAGGGGTTACTCCTGGCTCTGCACTCAGGAATTACTCCTGGTGGTGCTTGGGGGACCATATGGGATTTCAGGGACTGAACCCGGGTCGGCCGCGTGCAAGGCCAATGCCCTCCCCCTGTGCGATGGCTCCAGCCCCTCATTTCAGTTCTTCAAATTACAGCCAGCTCTGTTCTGTTCCACCAAATTAAGATTTGAACCCCCAAATCACTATGCGCCTCGAGAGCTTCTTCAGCGCCACCCCAAGTGGGTCGAGGTACCTGCCCTGCCAGGGTCCGACCCTGGTTCCATCCCTGGCACCACCCAGGAGTCCCCTCCCCTCTCCCCTCCTCCCCGCTGCCACCAGGAGTGAGCCCTGAGCACAGAGGCAGGAGCGAAGCCGGAGCACCGCCCCAAAACAAAAACCCAAACGGAACAAATATCCCAAGAAGCACCTTAATGGAGACTCAAGCGTAACAGAGTTACTGTCTTTCACCAACTCACAAATCTTCTTTCCTTCTCCATTCCTCATTTCAAAAGTCGATAAAATTAGACGGGCTTGTGGATTTAGGGTTTATCTAGCATCTAAATCACCAACAGTCATTGAAAAGCCACCGATAAACCAGGAAATCCCACAGATGATTTAGAATGGGCTAAAAACATAAATGACATTGATAACAAAGAAAGTCCCCTGACTCAGGGCCTTCTTTAATTCAGATCCGTGCTCACTAACGAGCCCCTGTTAATATTTCATGGACCGTCTCTTCCCACTTACTTTAAAATATTTCTCTAATGGAGACTGGCAAACACACCATGCTCCTGTGAGTAATGAAAAATTCAAATGTGTTTAGGGAGGATCTTCAGCTGTAATTCAAATCATGTTGCTTAAACGTTTCTAAAAAGGCCTCAGAGCCTGGGCTGTAGGAGTCCAGACCGGGGAGAGTCTCGGGGCAGAGGGGACGGTGGGGTGGTGAGTTGCCTGGACACCCACCTTCAGAGCGGGACTCAGCTTTTACCCACGAAGCCAGGTCAGCCAGCCGAGAGGCGAGACTAGGACAAGGATGCACTTGGGCCATCCATGAGGCCCACATGGACTCCCGGGTTCCTGGTGGGGGCCAGCTCTCACCTGAGAGCTTCCAGGGGCTTAACTGGGTTAAGTGAGGGCTGCAGCCTGGTTTACTGAGTGATGTGTCATATCTCCTGATTTACCCAATACAGAATGGAAAGGCAACAGCTCAAATCTCTGGTCTTCTAGCTCCATCAAACGCATAGACGGGCATATGGCCTGACAGGCAGCCGTGAATCACCAGAATCTTTGCTCTAGCTGAGTCCCGAGGGAGTCCCGGGGCGAAGACACATTGGGACATTTGGGTGCAACGAGAGATTCTTATAAAATCATGGAATTGACTCCAGTTATGGAAAGCCTGGCTTAAAAAATCAAAAGGTGCTTTTATGCAGGAAAACTTATGATTCTGTGGGGCATCGGTGACTTTCTCTACTTTGCATATTTTTTTCCTATCAGAATTCAGTGAACTGATCGCATTCATTTCAAACCACAAGTTGTTCCCCCACAAATCATTTGAAAACCGTTGAAATCAACATTGTACTTAAGTGCCAGGAGAATAATCTTTAAGCAATCACAAAACACTTAATAAAGAAAATAGGATTTGAAAGTTTGGTCCCCTGAATCTAAACACCATCAGCCATCCTGACCAGTTAAGGGTCCCCAGGAGACAAATCAGACAGGCCAACAGGATAGGTCAGATCTACACTGACTTAAAACAAAATTGCTTCTAAGAAACTTAGAGGAATTACTTTGCCAAGATCAACGGTGAGGCCTAATTTAATTTCCAGCAGAGTCTGAATGCTTTAATAATACACGCTGATGTCGAGGAGAGCACAGGTTTAAGAACTGAAAACGGTGAACTGGAAGAATGCTGCTGATGTAAAGAAGCTTTCTGTCTTGTTTTCATCTTTGTTGCGGGCTATCCCTGCATCGTCGGGGAGCTGTTGCCTGCTTTGTGACCAGGGTTGCTCTCGGCAGTGTCTGCAGAGGAACTGGCGCGTAGAACCCAGCCTGGTGGGCCACACACTCTGCCTGCCAGATGCTCTCACAGGTCAGGAAGGAGAGAGGAGCAAAGGCAGTGCCATGACAGGCTCCAGAAGGAGCCAGGCCTAAGTTTCGGATTCTGAAGCTTGAAGTTACGGTTTCCCCGAGTTATGGTTTCCCCGAAGTGATGTGTCTGGCCAGGACAACCCAGAAGAAATGACTGGGAAAGTCCCCGGTCATTTTTGTTGAGGCAACCCCTCCGCCTGCCTCCAGCCAATCAGAAGTTACCAAGCAGCTGGAAAGCCCCCAAGACTGATGCCAGAGACAGACACACGTTATGTGATGCTGGGAGACTAAAACCCTGCACCCACTGGGTGGGTGAGAAGACAGTGCCCTAGCGAGAGCCAGCCAATAAAGACCCTGGCCTGGTTGCATCGCCACTTGTCTTCATGTGGTCCCTCTGGGGAGATCTCAGCCGGTTTAATAGCCACTTTATTTTCCTATTTCCTTTTTGGGTTTGGGGGCCACACAGTTGTTGCTCAGGGCTTAGCTCCTTGCTCTCTACTCAGGGATCACTCTTGGTGGTACCCAGGGCCCAGGGATGAAACATGGGTCGGTTGTGTGCAAGGCTAGTGTCCTCTCCACTACACCATTGCTTTGGCCATGCTTTGTTATTTCGTTTTTCTATACCTGGTGGTTCTTGTTACTGATGGTAGTGCTTGGTACTGGGTGGTGCTGGGGATTACAGAGCCGCCCCCTCCATTCCCCCTCCCAATGCACTGGATGGGCTCCAGCCCTTCCAGCCATTGCCTTGGCCCATTCATGGACTTTCTGACGACTCAAAGGACAGGATTGAATAGAATATTCTAGAACTGAAAATAAATAAAATTTGTCAGTGCACAGGAGCCAGAGAGAGAGAGAGTAAGTGGGTCCGTGCTTGTCTTGCATGTGGCTGACCCTGGTTCCGTCCCCAACACCGAATAAGGTCCCTTGGGCCCCGCCAGTCAGAAGGAACATTTGGCAGCCGAGTTCCTCACCTCTGAGGAAGGGTCAGGATGCTGCCTGCTGGCCTTCCAGCGAGACATTTGTCCTCAAGATCCGCAACTGGAGGCCATAGGGATCTTATTCCCAGAGGACCCCTGGTGAAACGGCATAAATGGGGCCAGAACCCTGCCCCTATGGGACCCTGGAGGGAAGGAGAGAGAAGGAGGGAGAGAGGGAGGGAGAGAGGGAAAAAAGGAGAAAGAGAGGAACGGGGGTGGAGGGTTGGGGGGGGTGAGGGAGAGATGGCCCAGCAGAGAGCAGGTACCTGGCAGCAAGGCAGGCGGGGCAAGTGTAAAGGCTGAGCTGTGAAGAGGGGCCCAGGCACTGTGACAGAAAGACTCAGAGCAGGCCTCGAGGCGCAGCAGGAAGCAGCGGGACCCGCTGGGCACCGGAGAGCCTTCCTTGGAGGCTCGGCTTGGAGAAGGCAGATGAGACAGCACAGCATGTCGGTGCTAAGCAGGACATGAGGACCAGCCCTGGACACTGCCCTGCAAGCAGGAAGCAGAGCGAGGCCACACTTCACACTAAGTGGGCAGGCTAAGCTTGGGAGCCAGGTGACCTGGAGAAGTGCAGCATGCTCTCCGATGCCCACCTGGTAATATATTAGCTTGGCAGTACAAGGCAGCAGTTTCCCCCTCTTACGCAAACACAGTAACAACAAAATCTCCAATGCAGACGTTACTGGGCCCGCTCGAGCAAATCGATGAACAATGGGCGGACCTTTACCTTTTACCTTTACACATCCTCACTCTGGTTTGACCTTCAAGTATTCACATGAGCCTTCTCTCCGGTGTGTGTGTGTGTGTGTGCATGCGTGCGTGTGTGTGTGTGTGTGTGTGTGTGTGTGTGTGTGTGTGACCGACCACGAGAATGTGGGGGCGTGATCTGTAGAGCCTCATGTCCAGCTCCATATCCTCCTCTGATGTGTCAATCATGACAACACAGCTTTGACCGCACAGCTGTGACAGCAGCATGCAGGCCCCAATGTCCCTTTGACGAATGCGCATCCTGTAACTGTCTGTACTCTCGCGAGTGAGTCTTTCTCTGTCATGAAGTCACTAGGACGTAACTGATAAAAAGTAGAATCATTCTGTAGACTGTCTTTGTATCTGGTCACTGTTTCTTTGGAGCTGCAGAAGCTTCTTAGTTTAAGATAGTCCCATCTGTCTATCTCTGTTTTCACTTGCTTGGCCAGTGGCGTGACATCTTTGAAGATACCATTAGCTTCAATGTCATGGAGGGTTTTGCCAACTTTTTCTTCAATGTACCTTATGAATTCCGGTCTGATGTTGAGGTCTTTAATCCACTTTCATCTTACTTTTGTACATGGCATTAGGGGGTCGGGGGGACACTGGGATCCGTGGTGGTGGGAAATGGGCACTGGTGGAGGGATGGGTATTTGATCATTGTATAATTGAAACCCAAGCACAAAAATTTGTAAGTCTACAACTGTACTTCATGGTGTCTCACTAATAATAATTAAAAAAAAAAAAGTAGAATCAAAGGAGCCTCTTAGCAGCCACTCCCGCCTCGAGCCTATGCGAGCTTGGCCCTCGGTCTCGCGTGTCTCACATCTGTGCCTCCAATCCACTGATCTATCACGTCATGCAACACATGCGAGTGCGTCGGCAGACGCCTGCGGGCTCAGGAGAGCCTTTGACCGCAGCAGGAGCGTGTGACCCCCGCCCATTCGTGTTGCCCCTGAGAAAACACCAGAAGGACTTTCTGCTGCCCCTGTCCCTCCCGGGATGCTCTTCCTCCAGGCCCAGAGCAGCCTGCAGATGACCATGCCCCCACCCACGTCGTGTGTGCCAGGAGCCGCCCACTTGCCGGACTCACCCTGCCCGCGTAGTGCAGCACCGTGAAGGCCGCGCCCGGCTCGCGGGCCGCTGGGTTCCCATTCCCGTCCTGCAGCGAGGAGGCGAGCACGGCTTCGGGGCTGGCGTCACCCAGTAGGCCCTGCAGCTTCCGGGTGAGGCTCGCCTCCCCCGACCACAGCCTCCGACTCTCCTCATCCAGCACCGAGAAGAATCCGGACGGCGTCTGAGAGGAAGAACAGAGAGATTCTCGTTTTCTTCTATGACTCAGGACGGAGTCTGGGGCTCACCCAGCGGAGGCTGAGGTGGAATTCCATTAGGCTCCCGCCATGCTCAGAACAGAGGCGACTGCTCCCAGCACACGCTGCGGGAACGCAGGACCCCAGGTGCCACCAGTGGGTGCATGGACATGGACGGGGAGGTGGGCGGAGCAGCATCTTACGGCCATTGAAACACCAGAGCTGTTAAAATATTCTTGAAGACGGAACGTCAGCTCCAGTACGAGTTGCTTGTATTCCTTGACCTAAAACTCCAACCAAGCACGTTGTGGGGACTGCAGGGAAAATGAGAGTGAAGTCACAGGGCCAACTGGACGCCAGGCAAATGAACGGTGACAAGAGTCCACTCTGCCAGGAGGAGTGACTGTGGTTCTGAGAATGCAGAACCAGCACAGGTGCTAAGCCCCGTACACCCAGCAGTGATGGGTGGTCCCTGGCCACCAGGGTAGCTGAAGCCAAAAAGCAAACAGCAGGGTGGGGCAGACCTGGAGGTTTGCATGAAAATCAATGCGGGAACGAGGGGAGGGGAGGCCACTGAGCTCCCCACCACAGGGTCCGGGGACCAGTGGCAGCTCCCCACTCCCACCCTCTGCCATTTCTCTCTTCTATCCCAGGTCTGAGAATGGCTCTCGATTATTAACACATTGGATTTTCTCTAGCTGCGGCTGCTTCGTGCAATCCACGTCCAGCATCCCCCACTCTCGTCTCTACGTCCACTCTGGGCAGTAGCAGGGGTGCAAGTACCCAGGAGGGGAGGGGCTGTGTAACTCTTATGGTCACTGCAGGGCTGTGTGACACCCATGGTCACTGCAGGGCTGTGTGGGCTTCATGGTCATTGCAGAGCTGTGTGGGCCTCATGGTCACTGCAGGGCTGGGTGGACCCCCACGGGCACTGCACCTTGGAATCTGAAACTTTTGGTGCCACACACTCACTGCCTTCCCCGAGGTCTTTCATTCAACAACAGAAAGCGCCTGTTTTGGTATCTGGAACTGTCTGAGTGGTTTTAGCCTGGAAGCCCCAGGCCGAGAGCCTCTGGCTGAGATTCCCCAGCCTGGGGCTCTCAGGGGTCATGCATGGGGAGAGGGACTCCAAAGCCCAGCCTGGAAGGACGCAGGGATGCTGCTGGCACCCTCGGGAGACAGTGACCCGGCCATGGCCCTGTCTCTGGGATGAGCCTCTGGGGGGGTGGAACCGGAACCGAGGTGGACCGGGGCTCTGGCCCAAAGTGAATCCAGCCCGTGGTCCTGGCCCGGGGAGGTGGGGGTGTCCATCCCCAACTGCAAAGTGCAAAGAAGGCCACTGTGGTCGGCCAGGCCTCCGTGTGGCAGGGACCCAAGGAGAGTCACGGTAAATAAGCAAGCATGTGAGTGTGCGTACAGGTGTGCAACTGCATATGTGTGCACCTATGTGCAGATGTATGTATGAGTTTGTATGTATATAGATATGTATGTGCGAGTATGTATGTGTATGTGTGTGTTGTAGGAATGTGTCTATATATATGTGTGTTCTTAAGTGCATGCCTACATGTGTGCAAGTATGTGTATGTGTGTGTGCGCACGCAGGATGTGTGTGTGTGTGTGCAAACACGTGTGAGTCTTCACGATGTCTTCACGGAAGGTGAGTCCTGTGCCGCGGGCACTGCCATGGGGCCCCGCCTCCCTCGCGGGCCGGCACAGACACACAGGGCCCAGCCTCGTGGGGATTGCCTCCTTGGAAGTAGGAGTCTGACTACTGGGCAAGGCCTCTGAGGAAAGTTCCAGCACCCAAAGGGGCAGCCAAAGGCAAGGTGGGCCTCGAGAGCAGCCGGGGTTCTCCGAGCACCAGCAGCTGTGACCTGGAGGCCGGGCTGTCAAGGGAGCTCTGTGTCTATGGCAGGGAGCGAGCACTGCCCCTGTGAGCACCTGAACCACGTGCGTTTCCAGGGCGGGTGGGAGAAGCCACAGAGGAGGAGAGCGCAGTGAGCAGACTCAGGCACCAGGACGCGGGACAGCACCACCAACGGCCTCACCTCACGGGCACTGGCTGGGGCCTGGGTGACAGCCCCCATCGTGGGCACAGAGAGGGGCACTCCCTGGGGCGTGGACATGGTTTGTGGGTCTGAAGAGGAGGATGCCAGTTGTGCAGTGCGGCCATGCTGACCTCACACGCACAAACACAGGATGCATGGACAATCATCGCGGCCGTTGTATGTGCCAGAGGGGGAACCAGGAAGGTCCACCGTCATTTCCAACCATGCCCGGTGGGTCCTGCCATGTAATGGCCCTCGAAGACGGACCCCAAGGGCCGAGTATGAGGCTAAACAGGTTTCATTGCATGTAGAGCAGCGGAGCCTGGGCTTCCTGGGGGCAGAGAAGGAGAGGCCAGGGCCAGGTGCATGTCCTGCAGTCCAGTCCGACCCAGCAGGGTCAGGGTGTGGTCTGCGGGCTATGACTGTCTCTCTCAGGGGTGGGAGTGGGGCCGGGGTGCTTCTACACCTGACGAACAAGAATGCTGGCAAGCTGGGAGCAGGAACAAAAGTATTTTACAGGATTTGGGAAATGCGTAAAATCAAGTGGCTCACCGACCAACACCTACGGAACGCAACAGTAGGCAATTAAAGGCGCACTCCCTGTGCTGGATCCGATTCAAACATGCCCAGCACTTCAGAACTCTGCCCAGACCTGCCTCCGCCCTCCTTCCTGAGGATTCCTTCCCAGGTGAGGCTCTGGGTTTGTCCCCACAGAGATGCTGAGACAGACCCGCAGGGCGCTGCAGGAGCTCTGTGGCAGGAGACGCCCCTCGGGCTTCCGGCCTCAAGTTTCCTCCCCTTTTGTCACATGTGGCTTTTGAGGTGTCGGCCAGAAAGGAAGATCTGCTGCATTGTGCTATTTTCTTGTTGGCCTCCTGTTAATTTTATTTATTTATTTATTTGCTTTTTGGGTCACACTCAGCGATGCACAGGGGTTACTCCTGGCTCTGCACTCAGGAATCACCCCTGGTGGTGCTCAGGGGACCATATGGGATGCTGGGAATCGAACCCGGGTTGGCCGCGTGCAAGGCAAACGCCCTACCCACTGTGCTATTGCTCCAGCCCCTTCTCCTGCTAATTTTATAACTGTTAGTCTTTCATTAGAATGTGCTAAGGGAAGAGTTTAGCAATACAGCCAAAGCTGAGTATCTTTATAGAAAGACATTTGGGCACTGCCTGTCCTCCCAGTGAGCTGGCGATCCTTCCCATGGCCCTTCCGTGGAAGCCGACCGGGGCCCCTCCACCAGCCTGGGAAGAAGGGAAAAACATTGTGAGACAGATGAAAAACAAGGGTCCTGGAAATAGAGTCCTTTGTCTGCAGTCTATTAAAATGCATGCACCCTCTAAAGTATCTAATTATATGATATGAATACCTGGAAGAAGAAATCCAAAACTCCAGTCTGGTTTCCAGGAGAATAAGCCGTTTCCATGGCGACTCCCTCCTGTACACAGTCTGTTTGCTCCTGCAGGAACAGAACCTCCCTGATGTACTGATGCATCTTCTCGTTGGTCACGTTGATGCAGAGCTGTGGGGGATGAGACAGGGACACGGTGGATACAGGGGCCATGCAGGTGGCCGCTGGCCCCAGTCAGGCGCCCACGGTCCTGAGATGCTGCAGGACACAGACACTCAGGTGGCTGAAACAAAACTCAGATGCAACCCAACTTCAGGGGCCCAAATGGGTCAGTGGGTCCACTCTGTGGGGTGGGAGGGACTCCCAATGAGGCACTGTGGAAGGGGCGTTTCCCCACGTTAAGGAGATAAAACATTGGTTGTAGCATGATCACAACAAGCTAAAGTGTTAGCCAGCAAGGTGGGGAGCTTTTGCTACGTCTCAGTATTAAGATTATTCTGTGGGGGCAGGCCCCTGGGCGGCGGTCAGGGGGCGAGGGGCAGGCTGGGTGTCCCGGGGCCACTGGGGAAGGGGTCCTGAGGAAGGGGTTCCCCCAGGAAGGAGTCCAGAGAAGGGGTTCCTCCAGGAAGGAGTTCTGAGGAAGGGGTCCTGAGGCAGGGGTTCCTCCGGAAGGGAACTCGGGGAAGGGGTTCCCCCAGGAAGGGGTTCTGAGGAAGGGGTTCCCCCAGGAAGGGGTTCTGAGGAAGGGGTTCCCCCAGGAAGGAGTTCTGAGGAAGGGGTCCTTTGGCAGGGGTTCCCCCGGAAGGGAACCCGAGGAAGGGGTTCCCCCAGGAAGGGGTTCTGAGGAAGGGGTTCCCCCAGGAAGGAGTTCCCCCAGGAAGGAGTCCCAGGAAGGGGTTCCCCCAGGAAGGGATCCCGGGGAAGGGGTTCCCCCAGGAAGGAGTCCCAGGAAGGGGTTCCCCCAGGAAGGGGTTCCCCCAGGAAAGGGTTCCAATGAAGGGGTTTCCCCAGGAAGGGATCCCGGGGAAGGGGTTCCCCCTGGAAGGGGTCCCAGGAAGGGGTTATCCCAGGAAGGGGTCCCAGGAAGGGGTTCTCCCAGGAAGGGGTCCCGAATAAGGGGTTCCCCCAGGAAGGGGTTCCCCCAGGAAGGGGTTCCCCCAGGAAAGGGTTCCAAGGAAGGGGTTTCCCCAGGAAGGGATCCCGGGGAAGGGGTTCCCCCAGGAAGGGGTCCCAGGAAGGGGTTCTCCCAGGAAGGGGTCCCGAATAAGGGGTTCCCCCAGGAAGGGGTTCTAAGGAAGGGGTTCCCCCAGGAAGGGGTTCCTCCAGGAAGGGTTCCCCGAGGAAGGGGTTCCCCCTGAAAGGGGTCCCAAGGAAGGGGTTCCTCCAGCCGCTGCCTGGGGCCCCCGCTCCTGAGAGATTCCCCCGGGAGTAGGGCGTCCAGCATCCTCTGGCAGAAACCCTCCCTGCATTGGAAGCCCCTGCACGCTTCTCGTCCTAAGGTGCCCACATCTCCAAGGACTTGCCCACAGGGAACAAGGGTGGCATAAGGTCTCAGTTTCTTGACCTTAAACGTGATCTCAAACTTACACAAAAAGAGACAAAATCGATGAAAATATGGCTGTACTATCTCAGGCCTCTATCTAAAGTATTTTAAAAAAAAACTGTCCCAATTGAATTTTAAAACAAAATCTCTCACCAAAACGAGGCGTCCCCTGCCTCCACTCCACGCACCCCCCCCCCCCCGCCCCCCGGCTGTGCTGCTTCCTGGTAGAGCAGCAACAAGTGCCAAGGACGGTTTCTGTGGCCTGGGTGCATGCCTCCCTCTCACACCCGCTCCTCTCCCGGGGTGCCGGGCTCACAGAGACCCCCAGGATAGCGGGATCCCCCTCCCTGAGCTCCTGGCCCTGCTCCCTCTCCTGCCTCACCCCTGTAGGCTCCCTCTCCCTGAGCTGCTTCCTCTCCTGCCTTACCCCTGCAACACCCCCCTTTCTGACCTCTAGGCTCTGCTCCCTCTCCTGTCTCTGTCCCCCTGCTCTGCCCTGTCCTCTTTATCTTCTGCCCTCCCTGGGTCCCTGCTTCGTCCTGCACGGGCCCTGGCTCCCAGAGGTGCACACAGTCATTTAGGAATACCTGGTTCTCATCTGCTCCCTTGTCTAGTTTTGATTATAAATTCCAAATTGTCTTCTCAGCCGGGAGGTCCCAAGTGGCTCTGGGTCCCTGGGGACCCTCCTTTTGATCCTACCTACTGGGGCAGGACCTGAGTATATGAGTGTATGATGTTGCTCAGCAGACAGTGCTCAGGTCTTCTGGCCTGCGCCTGGAAGGGGACGGACCAGCAGTGCTGTGGCCTCTGGCTGCTGTCCCGTGCCCCAGCCCGACTCACGTCCGGAGACCACGTTCCACAGTGGAGCCTGGGACCATGGTGTGAATCTAGTCAGCTGCCTTCCGCATCTGGTCCCCTTCAGCGCCCCCTCCTCCCACCCGCCCCTCCCCAGGGGACCCAGGCTGGTTCCCGGGATCCAGGGCCCATGCTCTTCTCCCTGTGTTCTACGGCTGGCCCTGCAGGCAACACCCCCCAAACCCAAGCTTTCCTTTTCTTTCTCTTTCTTTCCTTTCTGGTCTCTCTCTCGAAGCACCACACCTCTCCCAGCTCAGCACCCCCAGGAAGCTTAAAGTCAAGACTCAGTCACAAACTCAGAGAAGAGGCCAAAGAAATGCCCCCACACGCGAGAGCTGCCACCACACAGGCAGCGTGGCTTGGGAAGGCCAGGACAGTGAGCGGCTGACCTGAACCTGCTCACGGAAAGACGGAAGGATGTTTCCTGGGGACATGGCAGGGAGAGGTGGGAGGGGCCTGATGAGGAATCAGAGCAGAATCCACGGTGGAAGGAGGAGGGGCCCGGCTCCTGTCCCAGGGAGTCACCGGGCACCTGCCGCAGAGGCTCCCAGGGGGCATGGCCGTCCTGCCCAGAGGGGTCTGGGTCCTCTTGGAGGGCAGCGCGGGGAAGCGCCTCCCAGGCCCAGTGCCAAGGCCCCAGAACCGTCTTCCACTCGCTGCCTGCTTGGCCGCTGCAGCAGGGGAAGCCCTCGGCCAGCAGCCTGGAAGCAGCTCACTCCTCCCTCCACTGAGACCACAGCTCCATGAGAGACGAGAGATGGCAGGATGGGAGCCAGAGACAATGAGCTGAGAACGCCTGTGTTCCTGGATCTGTGTCACACTGTCCATGGGCACGAGGAGGCAGACCATGCAAAGACCCTCAGTCACGATTCAACACCCACACAAGGTGTGAGAGCCGCAGACTGAGTCCCACAGCCGAGCGATGGCCCAGGGAAACGCAGTATTGGGGCGGGACCCACTCACCCCTGCCCCGGGGGTCCCCGTGAAAGCTGGTCCCAGAACCTCACCCCAGCAGCGATAACTTGGGCGGCACCCATCACCCACAGCAATGGCCCAAGAACCACGCTGTGTGTATGGTCACACTCCACGACCTGGGAACACTCAGGGTTCCCCTGTACCTGCCTGCTCCCCTGGCCGCGCCCCCCCCCCCCCCCTGCCAAGACCCTCTCTGGGGCAGCTTCTTTCTCTTCTCTCCTCCTGATTAGCTAAAACTTTGCCTCCTGCTGCAACAGTTGCTTTCCTGAAGGACACGAGCTGGAGTTCCCTAAAGGTGAAGAGAACTGTTTCTTTCTTTCTTTCTTTTTTTTTGCTTTTTGGATCACACCCAGCAATGCTCAGGGGTTACTCCTGGTTTTGCAAGAAATTACTCCTGGCGGTGCTTGGGGGACCATATGGGATACCGGGGATCGAACTCCGGTCGGCCACGTGCAAGGCAAATGCCCTACCCGCTGTGCTATCGCTCCGGCCCCAAGAGAACTGTTTCTTGCTCTTGTGTTTTTCTGACCAACTGCCCAACTACTGCCCAACTACAAAAGTATGTGAGACAGTCATTTCAGTTGTGAATACGAGGCAGAGGCATGCATGTTTGTCAGCGCAAAGCAAACCGGATAAGGATGCAGACTATCACTTGCGTGCTGAATCTTGGGCTGGGTGTGGCCTGAAGCAGGTTCTGGGCATTGCCCCACTGAAAAGACAGCAGCGAGATCAGAGCTGAGGGGGCCGGGAGACCACCCGCCTCTGTGGCACCGTCTCGTGTGGCAGAACACAGCTCCTAGCCGTGCCCATTTTAATCTCAAGAGAAAGACTGACATTGCTGAAAATTACTGGGAGGGAAGAAAAAGTACATTTAAAAAAAAATCATTTCACTTGGCTAGAAACGTCCTATCTTAGGGTCTCCCAGCCCAGTTCCACAAGGTGAAAACTGTTGACACTGAAGGAAGTCCCGTGTGAGGAGTGAGAGGTGCCATCAGAGATGGTCCCTTCCCCCAAAATCTCCAGGCTCTCACGGAGTCAGGGACAGGCGACCTCCCCCACCCCCCTGTTCTTCCGGAGTCTGGCCGTCACGATGATGACCTGCCTCGAGAGCCCTAGAGCCGGCCATGATCCAGGGACTGATAAATAAATCTCGAAAGAGATGGACAAGCTGCAGAGATCCTTCCGGACCCCAAAGCCACCATCCAGTTAAAAAGTTAACTCCAGCTGCATCACCCCATTCAAAATTTTAGAGTTTCTGGAGTGACATCGCATTCTCTACACCACTGATATACCAGGAGAAGCAACACAGTGGATGGGCTGTAAAGTAGAAGGTAATTGGTCTCGATTAAGAAAATATAAACACCTAAGCCTCAACTGGTAACAGCATGTTAGTAATCTCTTACACAGGGCTTCATGGCTCCAGGGGGAGATACAACAATCTCCACACACTGTCCTTTAAGGAATTCTTTTTTGATCCTTTTTAGAGAATTATTCATAGAAGCCCGGCAAGCTACCGAGAGTATCTCGCCCGCACGGCAAAGCCTGGCAAGCTACCCTTGATGTATTCGATATGTCAAACACAGTAACAACAAGTCTCACAATAGAGACGTTACTGGACCCGCTCAAGCAAATCGACGGACAACGGCAGGACAGTGCTACAGTGCTATTCATAGAAGCAATACAAAATAAATTATTTAGGGCCTATTATTGGGGCAGACTAGGGTGGTGGTTGGGAAAACTGGGAATAATGGTGGTGGGTAGGTGTAATGGTGGTGAGACTGGTGTTGGGATATGATGA